GCACGCACACACACACACATACATACATATATATATATATATATATATATATATATATATATATATATATATATATATATATATATATATATATATATAAAAGAACAATGCTTAAAATAAGACGTATTCATTAAAAAATGCTTAAAGCAACGAAATGAACAAAACCAACATCAACAGAATAGATAAAAAAACACAACTACTACTACTACTACTACTACCGCCACCACTACCACGACTACCACCACTACTACTATTACCACTACTACTACAACTACATCAACAACAATTTGGTAAACACGATTCATCATAGTCATCATCATCATCTTCTTCTTCATCATCCTCACAATGCACTAAGTAACACAATTCTCGTACAATTAAAAGTTATCTCAGAAAAAATTCCAAGCCGCTAGAGATAAAAACACGTAAATACAAACATACAAACATGCGTAAATACATACATACATAGAAACATATACACATACATACATACAAACAAACAAACAAACAAACAAACATACAAACATATATACATACATACATACATTAAAAAACAAATATACAAATCAACATGTGAGAACAAACAAACACATAAAAACAGACTTTTGTGTTTTTTTTATTTATTCATTCATGTATCCATTCATCTACTTATCCATTCTTTCATTCCTTCATTAACTCATCCATTCATTCATCAATCCATCCATCCATCTATTAAAATAAGATCTATCCATGAAACGATAACGTGTAATAAAAGAATTTAATGAGACTGTTCAGAATTAAAAAATCGAAAAAATAATAATAATGACTATTATATAATAATAACAAAAAGTCATCATTACCATCATCGTCATCATCACAACCACACACACATACAAACACACACACACACACAAACAGACGTATACCCACATACACATACACACATTCACTTGGATTGAAACAATTCAAATAAGAAAACAGAGGCTGGATAGCTGATGTTACTGAAATAACAATAACAATATAAATACAAATAACAACAACAATAATAATAATAATAAGAATAACAATAATATCAGTAAAAGGTCACGAATGATATGGCAGAAAAAACTAACTTAACTTGATACATGTGTGTTTGCGGAACAATTTAAATGCTTTTTTTCAATCATTCATTCATTCGTTCGTTCGTTTGCTCATTCATTCTTTCATTCATTGGTTTTATCTTTCATCCATTCGTTTATTTTTTCCAACATTCGTTCAATCGTTCGTTTGTTCATTCATTCGTCAGTTCGTTTAAATATTTATTCATTCGCTCGTCCATTCCTCGATTCGTTCGTTCATCCATTCCATCATTCATTTATTCGTTCATTCATTCGTTCGTTCATTCATTCATTCACTCATTTACTTATTTATCACTCATTCAAAAAAGAAATAACAACGGTAATCTTTTTAAAGTAAATCAATCAAAGAAAGAAAGAAAGAACACACTAATGAATGAACAAACAACTTAAGCAGGCAAACAACTAAACAAGTTTATCCTTCATCATCATCAGCGGCAGCAGCAGCAGCAGCAGCAGCAGTAGCAGTAGCAGCATCATCATCGCCATTAGCAAAACGGAGACACTCTTCAAAATATATAATAAAGCAAATGCATGCGTCTGACGTATCCATGACAACCGCTTGCACTCCATGACTCAACACATCATTTTCCCCCACCATCATCATCACCATCGACAACAAACAACAACATCATCATTATCGCCATCAACAACAACAACATCATCACCATCATCATCTTCCTCATCATCATTATCATATTCATCGCCTGGAACGTTTTTCAATAAGCATCACTGTGTCTATGAACCAACGCGCGCGACACTTCTTTCTTTCTCTCTCTCTCTCTCTCTCTTCTCTCTTTCTCTCCTCTCTTTCTCTCTCTCTCTCTTTCTTTCTCTTTTTTCTCTCTTTTACATCCATCTCATCTTAATCTTGTAAAAGGTTCCAAACTTGGTACCTTATCATCATTCTTTGAAAGAAAACACGTTCGCTTTATCTATCCATCTGTAGCATTCATTCATTTATCCAGATATCAGTCTATCCAGCTGTCTATATATCCATTCATTCATTCACCCATCCATCTATTCATTCATTCATCCATCCATCCATCCATCCATCCATTTATTCATTCATTCATTCATTCATTCATTATCATTCCACTTATCGAAAAACCTATCTTCTCATATTCACCAACTAATAAGACAGCTATCTTCTCTGAATGTGCGCGTATGTATTTTGAGTGTGTGTTTTTGTGTGTACGTGTGTATGTGTGTGCGTGTGTGCGTAATGTATGCATGTTTGTACGAGTGCCTGTACTATCACATTCATCTTGATATATACAACACTTCATATGGTACATACAGTACGTACCGACACACTCCATAAACAATATTTCACACATTCGGAAACACGCCGCATACTTTATACATAAATCACGTACACTTGGCTGCTGGCCAGTATATGTATTGCATGCATGTATTGTATCGCGTACACACACACACACACACACACTCACACACACACACACACACACAAACCAAGCAAGTTACTGTATCATAGGCCTGAAAATATGCCACATTTCGCCGAACCATAACGACATACAGGCAACTAAATACATACATACCGTGTTTCCTCATATATAAGACATCCCTCAAATATAAGACCTAGCACGTTTTTTGTCTATTTTTCTAATATAAGCCCTCCCTCGAATATAAGCCCTCCCTCGATTATAATTTCTAGTATGAATCAGCTGACAACAACAAAAACTTCTGTCAAAACCACACCGGAAACGTCAACTGCTGCAAGATTTTTCGTTTTTCGAGGATTTTTCGTTTTTCGAACTGTTTTTCCTCCTTCAAGCATATCCTGAGGTTACAAAGCTGTCAAAGTAAGGGTTGTTTTTTCTATTTAAATAAACTATTTTGTAACATTTTGCCCATATTTAAGATGAGTGGCAAGAGGAAAAGTTACTCTGTCGAATACAAAAAAGGAATTGTGGAAGAATGCAGAGATCAAAATATTACTGCATTTTGCAAAGAGAAGAAGTTGGACGTACGAATGGTTAGGAAATGGCGAGCACAGTATGATGATCTCAATCAAAAGGTTGAAGATGGGCAGGCAAAAAAAAGAAAATGTGGCTCTGGAAACCGTCCATTCTTTCCAGAGTTAGAAGACATCATCTTTGACTGGATTGCTGAGAAGAGAGAAAACCGTATGGTTGTGCGCAGAGCTGAGATTCAAGCTTTTGCTCTCGAGATGGCTCCTACACTTGACATCCCTCCTGAGGAGTTCAAAGCTTCAAAATGTTGGCTGGATCGCTTCCTTCAGCGGTATGAACTCTCACTACGAAGATCAACAACACTGTTCAAGCTTTAGGATAAAGAAGCTGTCAAGAGAGCTCTCATGTTCAAGTCTTTCATGGATGGTTTGGATTTTTCAAAGTATCAGCTTTCCAACATGATTGCTATGGATGAGACTGCTGTTTACATGGGTCAAGACACTCAAAAGACAGTCGACTTCAGAGGAGCTTCATCAATTTATGTACCATCAACTGGATATGAAAGTGCACGCGTCACCTGCATTTTGGCAATTCGTCTGGATGGGAAGAAAGCTGCTCCACTTCTTATTACCAAAGGAAAGAAAGAAAAGATTGAATGCCAGGGAGGAGTTTATGTCTTGGAATCAGAAAAGACATGGAGTACGCAGAATGTAATAAGAAAATGGGTGGACCTTATGCTGCCACTTGTTTTAAGAGGAAGTCAACGAGGTCTCCTCATTTGGGACTCTGCAAGCACTCATCGTGCAAAGGATATGAAAAACTTCTTGGCAGAAAGAAGGGTTGATCAGGTTATGATCCCAGCAGGGATGACTGCTTACCTCCAGACCTTGGACATTGCAATAAACAAGCCTTTCAAGGATTACCTCAGACTTGAAATCAATGATTATATTGAGAATAGGATGTCAAGGAACAAAAATAACAACTTCGTGAAGCCTAATCTGCAGGAGGTAGTCTCTTGGGTAAGGAATGCATGGGGCAAAGTCACTGATAGCTGTGTTGCAAAGGCTCTGAAAGCAGGGTACTTGGACAAAACATCGCCATTTGAAGCGAGCTACATCGCAAAACACGATAGATTGGGACCTATGATACTGAAGGAGCCGGAGTCAAATGAAATCTTGGCTGGAATTCAAGGTCTTGATCTGGAAGAAAATGATGATATCCCAGAAGATGAATAAAATATTATTGTATTTGGGAAAAATAAATGATGTCGAAAAAATTGGCATAATAATATAAGCCCTCCCTCGAATATAAGACCTAGGGCAATTTTTGGGAAAAAATTAATATAAGACCCTGTCTTATATTCGAGGAAACACGGTGAGAACAAAAATCAAGACAAGGTTAACACACATATATAAATACAAACACGAAACGAAACGAAATGGAATTTCGTTAACTTTTCAAAATGGAAAATTATCAATATAAACAGAACGCAGTCTACCATTAATAGAATTTATAAACACACACACACACACACATACACACACACACACACACACACACACACACACATATATATATATATATATATATATACAACATACACACAATCACGCATAACACACACATACATACAAACAAGCCAACATGCAAACTAACAAACAAAACAAACATACTAGATAATTACTTAATTGCTGGCCAAGGCAGACAAAGAAGGAGGTAGTAAATTATAAACTTAAACTCAGGCTTGCAATATTACATAAAAACATATATATACATAAACAAACATGCATACATACATAAACACACACATACACATACATACATATATACAAACCATATATACAGCCAAGCAAAGCCAACTAAAAGGTCAGGGTCAGAATGATTAAATGTATATAAAATGTAAAAAAAACAATTAGACATAAGTGCATGTATGCACACTTACCAAAAGAAACAATCACTTTCACATTCACTTTCTTCTCTCTCTCTCTCTCTCTCTCTCTCTCTCTCTCTCTCTTTCTTTCTTTCTCTTTCTCTCTCTCTCTCTTAATTTCTTTCGATTTCTCTCAATTTCTCTCAATTTCTTTTAAATTCTTTGTTTTACTCTCTTTCTCTCTCCTTTCCTATCTCTCTCTCCATCTCTCTCTCTCTCTCTCCATCTCTTTTATTCCTTGACCCATCACCATCATCCTCCAATCCAAACAAAACAACGAAAAGTTAATTCACCACACACACCAAACGACTTTGAGTAAGCCTTACGCGACCACACACACACATACGCACGCACACACGCGCACGCACACACACACGCGCACACACACACATACACACACGCGCACACACACACAGATAAAGACGGTGATGACGATGAAAAAGCCGCGATGAACACGACGATGATGATGATGACGAAGGCAAAGAATTCAGTAATTGAACGCATTTTAATTGCACAGAGCTTAAAACATTCCGAAAATTGTAACACATACCCAAACAACAACAATAACACCATCATCATCATCGTCATCATCGTCGTCGTCATCATCAACAGCTGTAGCAGTAGCAACATCATCATCAATACTATTAATGATGAAAAGTATCTTGAAACGGAGTATCTTCATCATCATCATCTTCTCCATTACAATGGAGAAAGTGATGATGATGAAGAAGATGAAAATAACTAAAAGCTAAGGAGATGACGAACAATACAGGTAAAAAATTAGCAATAATGACGCTGATGACGATTACGC